TTGTACTTTTTGCCTTTTTGGTTTTTTTCCTTGTAAAAGCAAAAAATCCTCTTCAATTTTTTTTTTTTTTTTTTTCAGTTAGCAAAAACAAGCAGTAACGGAGGTCTTTCATAAAGCAAAGTGGCATAAGCTGAACTTTCCAAAAGCAGGCCAGACTTTGCACATGCTGACATTTGAGACTTGTTGAGTTAAAAGAATGCCGTGTCATTGTTTTATCTGCTTACGTTTAGTCCAGTAAATAGGTCATTAGAGCTAATCTCTGATTTTTTCACTTTCATTTCTTTTTATCTTTGTGAATTTTCTAGGTGGAGTATTACAAGGGGATCATATTTTTCTTTAGGAGGAACAGCCATGGCAGAGATCAAGGAACTAATTGAGTGCTCATCGTTCGGTAGCTTAGCAAACATGTTAGACAGGAAAAAGTATCAAAGTAAGTTAGGATGAGATTTTGAAATTTTACAATATTAAAAAAATTTTTTGACTTGAAAGAATTATGAAATATCATAACTTGGTATAAACAGGGGATTGATTCCAGAACCACCCTCTCCCATACCAAAATCCAAAGATGCTCATGTTCCTTATATAATATGGCATAGTATTTGCATATAACTTGTATGCATCCTCCCTTCTACTTTAAATAGTCTCTGAATTACCTGTGATACCTAACACAACATAAATACTTTGTAAATAAGACTTGGTGCTCCCTCTTAACTGCCAAGGAATGACTTTGAACACTTACTTGCTTTTTTCCACCAATGTTTTTTATTCATTATTGATTGAATACGCAGATGTGGAACTCATAGAAATGGAGGGCTACCTATATGCACATTTTAAATTCAGGATACTTCAGCAAGATCATTTGTTATGTGACCAAACATTACCAAACATTTACTGTATAAACATTCAATTCATTCCATCCCATTCAACACCATCCATTCTCCACCATCCATCGGTCCTACCATTCATCCATCTCCACCATCTACCCATCACCACCATCAAACCCACCATCCATCCCTCTCCATCATTCATCCATCCCACCATCCATCCATCCACCCATTCCTGCTATAATTCATCTCTACTCACCATCCATCCATCTACCCACCTGTCCTTCCATCCCCACCATCCACCTATTTTGTTTATTCATCCTCTTCAGTGATAAGAAGCTACTAGCCAGGTGGGAAGAGAGAAACAGCATCCCAGGAAGGGACCTTCATGTAGAAGCATGTACTCTTTGTCACAGACTGCCAAAAGACAAGAATTCTCAGAAGCAATTAAGTCCACCTTCTCACCAGTCTTTCAGCCGTCTGGGCATCCAGTCTGAGAAGGAGAATTCTAGAGTCAGTATGCTTATTGCCACCTCAGTTCATGTTTCCTCAGCAGTAACTGCTGCAACTCAGCTCCTTAACTTTCAGTCTGTGTTTTCCCGGACAGTGACCTGATTTGTGATTCACCAGGTGAGGTGTTGTGTTAGAGACACAGTTGAATGAAACTAGGTCCTTAAAGCCTAGTCCACACTTCCATATCTGAATACCTTTCAGCTCCTGAGTTTTCTCTTTTCCAGGTTAAAGATGCTTATTCTTTATGTTCTTTAAGCATTTTCTTGGGTTTTTCTTTTGAATTATTTTAGAAAAGTTCATAGAAAATGTACCAATAATGTACTCATGATTCAGATTTACAGTGTTAATATTTTGCCATATTTCCTTTTCTTTTTCAGAAATAAAACTTTACAGATATAGTTCAAATCCTTTTTTGTCTTCTTAGAGAAGTGTGCTCTGTCCTGGTAGAAGTAGGTGTAATCCTTTCCCTGCCTCTTCTCTCTCCCACATACAATATTTAAAAAATTTATAATTGTATTCAGATATTTCTTTTTCAGTACTTTTAGCTTTGTGGAAAACTGTTGATATAATTTCTCACTCTAGGGACTGAAGTGAAAATGGTTTATGAGCATCAGAAAAATCATCTCCCCAATTTTTCTCTTTGGTTTTAACAGGTCAAGTAAGGAGTCTCTTCCCTTCTCACATCCTTTCAACAGTTCATATATGTTTCATTTCATCTCACTGATTTTAAATGACACTGTTGGCATATATTATTTACATGCCTATGTATTTACATACATACACATAGCTATGTATTTCTGTACTTTCTAGTGTGTTCTATCAGTCGTTATGTCACTGAATCATGGATTTAATAACCCTAAAAACTCTAGATTTTTCTTCTTTTCTCCTTTTTCTTCTTGGTATGAGTGAGGCACTGAGCTAAGAATTTTATGCACTTTGGCTCATTTACTCTGCTCCTCACCCTCCTTTGACAAACGAGGTCACTGAGACTCCAAATAGTGAAGGTTCTTTCTCAGGGTCACACCTCTAAGAAGAGAGAGAGCTAGTTTTGGAACCCCAGAATTTAAACCTTAGCCATACACTACTAGCTACGAGCTACTCAAAGGAGAACTGGCATCACTTTGTGGTATTGATGTCATACTGGCAACCCTCTGCCCACACCTTTGGGCACCAGTGATCCTAAGGAGTTAAGGATGCCCCTGTGTCCACCTGAGAACTGTGTCTGGGAAGTTGGCACATCTGGTGGCTGGGAGGGGGCTCTGGTTCAAGAGCTCAGGGAACCGTTTTTTATCTATGCATGCAAGTTAGGAGAAGAGGTCCTCCCAATGTTCCTTTCCTTCTCTGATTTCACAGTAAAAAGGAATGATTCTGACATAAAAAGGAAACTCCAGAAAAGAAAGAAGCGACTGCAAGATGAGGAGATGGACTCCAAGCTGGCGGGTCGCTGGAAGCAGGGTGTCTTCTCCATCCAGCTGGCAGTGATGCCGCTCCTTGCCGGTAGCTAACCTGGTGTCCACCAGTACTGTTGTCACCGTGTCACGTGTCCATAAATGCAGAGTGCACAGTGACTGAGCCCCCCCCGTCCTGTGTCATCTCATTTCATCCTCATGCAACCTTGGGAAGTGGGGGTAGGGGAGGAGGGCCCTGTAATTGACTACTTTACAGAAGAAGAAGCTGAGGAACAGAAAGGTTAAATAAATTGTACAGGGTAATGTAGTTAGTAAGTATAAAGTCAGGATCGAAACCAAGTTCTGTCTGATTCCAAAGTGCAAGTAAACGTGAGAATAACAAATGTCATAACTCTGTTTGCTAGATAAGATGCTCATTTTTAGAGATACCTACCGTAGATTTAGTTTGGGTGAAAGTTTACAGAGCAAATTACTTTTCCAGCTAACAGTGTATACACTTGGTGTGTGTTTGTGACATTGGTTGCCATCCCCTCAGTTTAACAGCATTCCTCCCCTTTTTTCTGGGTTCCCCATTTCCACTTGTCCTTCTTTCCTACACCTTACTACAGAGTTTTACAAAAGCATCTATAGAGTGAAGGCAATGAGGAAGGGAACCCGTTTTTGCTGAGCATCTGCTATATACCAGACACCTTACATATGCCATATAATGTACTTTTCAACAAACTCTGGTTTTCCCAGTAAACTTGTGGTAGTGGTAATCACTGTGGACCCTTTTTCAGTGAGGAAATAAAACCTCAGACAATGTAAGTAACATATCCAAGGCCACACAGCACATGCTAGAAGTTTGATCCCTTTGCTTTGTCAGATCTGTTACAATTTATAAACTAAGTTTTCTATATTTTTGTACATAATTAATAAATATTATATGTATGGCAGTGCAGTGGCACCATAAGATAAGCACTGGACTAATAATCTCAAGGTCAGCAGTTCAAAACTACCAGCTATCCCATTGGAGAAAGATGAGGCTTTCTGCTCTTGCAAAGATTTATAGCCCTGGAAACCCTATACAGGGTTGCTGTGAGTTGGAACTGACATGGCTCTTAACAACATCATTTTATGAATATATTTTGATGATGGAAAACTTAGGAAATATTTTAGACAACACACATTTTAAAAAAAGGTAAGATCAAAAAGAAAACTTTAATTTTTAAAAAGTTTTTATTGTGAACTAAGTGATAGTTTACATGGGAGAACATCGGGTGTACATTCATCGTTTCATTGCAATGATTGACAATCTCCTCCATGGATCATCATTCAACAGTATTTGATTATATTCCCTCTGGGTTGTTTTTTTGGGGGGGGGTGGCGTGGGGGGCGGGGGTGTACACAAAAACACTCTTGAATATATAATCGTTTAAACAACCAAAGCGCACATTCTGTAAGGCAGCCTCCTGGTCACCAGCACACAGCTTTTCTCTTTCCATGAGTCTAGAGTCCTCAGCTGCTGTCTCTCCATGTCCTCATTTTTGCCTCCATCTCTGATGTCGCTGCTTCCCTGGTTAGGGTCCCACATTCCTCTTGTGCTCTTCTCCCTTGGTGGGCCTAGGGTCCTCTGTTCTAAACTGTGAGGTTAATTACTCGCCCCTTTTTGTTACAAAACTTATACCTTTACAGTTGTGACAGTTGCCTTAGTCATGATAACATCTACTCACTATTGAATCATAAGAATCTTATCCCCATCTCCTTTCACCAGACCCATCTAGACAAGATGATAACTATTCTGTGGGTGTTCTACCGTCCTCCTCTCACTCTGAAACTAAACTTCCTCTTGAAAACCTGTAAGCCAATCACTTCGTACTTTTATAGTTGCATCATTTTAGGTACACTTTTTATTTTTTAGAAAAAATCTTGAGAAGCCTATCTGTTGTTTTGACCGTGAAGTTGAATGTGCGCCCTCTACTGGACATTCTGCAGAACCATAGGCTTTGGTCTTCTCTGAGTTGGAAACAAACTTTTGTAGAAATGGAGACCAAATCCCTTAAAGTCACAGTGTCCTGTTCAGCCCTGCAGGGATCTGGAAAACCATAATCCACACAAGCTCTTGGGCTGATGTTAATGCATGTTGAGGATATACTACTTTCTGTTTTAATTTTTAAACATATTTTTGAAAAGTTGGCCCTTTCTGACTGCCTTAAAATTCTCAGTCTTTTCTAGAGAAGTGATTGTACCACTGTGAGTGCATTTTCACAGGAATCTTTGCCCATTCATGTATTGTGTTCCATGAGTACCAGACTCCCACACATGCTGTATGCATTGCCTTCAGCAAAAGTTTTTGGTAAGATGGCTTCTTGGTCCTTGAGTCCCGGAGAGGAATTGGTAGTCCTTTGGTAAGTGAGCTCCATGTGACTTGTGCCTCTGGGGTCTGGGCTGACTTCACTTCCTGGTTTTGCTGTAAGAGTGTGAGAATCAAATGGTCTCCACCTGCTCTCTGAGACTTCCCAGCAGGGTGAAACCAAGGGTGTGTGCCCTCCTATTCATTCACCCCTGTTGTACCGGCTGTGTATCATGGCAGTTAGTATGAGAGTCCTTGGTTTCTGTAGGCCTGAGTTTTCTCATCTGTAAAATGGAGGTGATCACTTACACCTCTGAGACTTGTAATGATTACATGACATATGTGTTTAGATTGCTTAGCATAGAACCTTGCACATAGTTGGACCCAAAAACTGGCTGATGTGCAGATGGCAGCTGCTTCTGCCAGGACATTTGGGTGGGCCAGATGCAGGACACTGGGCCTCCAACAGGGAAAACAGAAAAAGAAACCACGTCCATTATACTATAGACATAGTTTATTGTCATAAGCCCAGAGTGACCTCAGCATAGCGGGCCAGTTGTGTGTTCATTCTTGCCATAAAATTGTAGCATCAGTTATCTGTCCTAAACCCAGAAAAAAAAATATTTTTGGAAATCATCTTCAGTTTCAAACCTTGTAGTAAGTGTTGGTGATTCTAAGAAGATTTTGTGTTTGGAGTGACTCTTAAACTTTAAAATTAGGCAGTTTGCATAGTAGAAGGACAAGGTTGGCCAAATTGCATTGGTTTGGATCCTGATTTCACACCACCATATTAACCAAGAGGCCTTGGATGATAACTTAGTATCTCTGGGTCTCAGTTTCTCTATCTATAAAGAACAGATGATTTTAAAACAAAACACTTCTAGGTCTGTTCTGAGGATTGGATAACATTAGCGCAGATTATGGTCTGGTAATTTTTAAGTGCTCTGTTCCCACCTTTTCCCTCACTCTGCAACCAAACCAAACACTTGTAATCAACGAGGCGATTCCACCTCACAGCAACTGTATAGGACCAAGTAGAGCTACTCCAGAGGGTTTCTGGGAGCAGACCGCCACATCTTTCTCCTGCTGCTCTGAAACGGGATTGCAGTGCAGTTATTTTGGTCCCAGGAGACATCTGAGAATGTGTGCAGATATTTCTGGTTGTCACACTGGGGAGAGGAAGATGTGATTGGCATCTAGTGGGTAAAGGACAGGGATGCTGCTGAATATCCCACAATGCTCTGGACAGTCTCCACAAATGCCCAGAGTGTAGGGCCAGGAACCCTGCTCTGGAAGTATGGGGGTGCTGTCTCTCTCAAGTTCCTCTGATGATTTGAGCATGTGTTTGCACCAAGGAATACCTCTAACTCAGATTGTCTTTGATAAGAACAGGCTTACAAAATTAGCAAAAAAAAATTTCTAATCATCTGTGGCCATAATGTGATTGTTTTATTGAGAAGAGCAAGTGAGAACAGCTAATCTGCCATGGCAGCTCACCTTACTCCACGCTCCCAGCCTGCCCAGATGTCTGTGGCATGCACTAGGCCATAACTTGTTCTGAAAGTGACTCTGGTTTCTAAGTGTGGAAGAGTTGGCTTTTACGTGCTCTGGAAATATATTTACAAGCATTTGGAAAGGAATAGAACTGATTTTTTTTTTTTTAGTATCTGCTGGGAGTGTCTCCAGTACCCTCCCATACAAAATCTCTCTTAATCCTCTTAAACTCTAAGGAAGGTGGTAGCCCGTTTTATAGATGAAGAAAATGGGCCTCAAATTCTTAAATTTGTAGGTCACATGGTAGTAAGAGGCAAGTGTAGGATTTGAGTTTAGGCTTCTCTGCCTCCAAAATTTGAGCTTTTTTTCCTCCCCCCTCTCCTTCCTTAATTTTTGCGTACACTGGTATTTCTCTAGCTGGTAAATATATATTCTTTCCAGCCATACTATTGTAAAACTATCATAGCATGAGGTGTACATGTTCTATATCCACTTCTTTGCTTTTCTCATTTAAACCACAATAGTTGAAGCAATACCACTTGGCACCAAATGTAGATATTGTTTTTTTTTATATGAAAATAATTGTCTCAAGCAGCACTGTCCAGTGGAACTTTCTGCAGTGATGTTCTGTATCTGTGTTATCCATCCAGTGCATAGCTCCTAATCACATGTTGCTGGGGAGCATTTGAATTGTGACTAGTAGAAGGAAGGAAGTGAACTGAGTAGCCACGTGGTCAATAGCCACTGTACTGGATGGGCCGGGTTTAAAATGGTGATTCTGGAGTACCTGGGAAACTTTAAAATATCTATGCCGAGGCCATAGTATAGTCTCAGTAAATCAGTCTCTGGGAATGACACCCAAGCATCAGTATTTATTACTGTTAAATGATTCAGGAAATGTTTAAACTGCTTCTTAAAAGATGATCATCAAAAATGATACCTCAGATATACAAGGGCTAAAGGGACTAGAGGTAATTGTGCTATATACCCAACCCTTGAACAACAGTGTTCTGTGGGTAGATACATGGACAGATGCACAGTCTGGACGGGTATGAGAGGAAAAGTGGGAGTATACTCATAAATATGAAAGAGTTTGAAAGAGGAGATTTGTATGTGAGTGTTTACCTTTCCTGAAAACACAACTATGAATGGGATGGAGCCAACAGCAGGCAAAATGAAGAAAACGTCTTGGATATTATCAGATAGCTTAAGGTAGTGAGTTGCTGGGCCTGGAGATTCAGGGTCATAGTGTCAGGGGACACCTGAGAAT